GTTTGTTTTCGTGTCTTTTTTTTCGCTAGTTTTTTATTCGCGCTTTTTTAAACCCTTTAGTTAGCATTTGCCAATTTCTCCGAACCCGAGTTTTAATAATTAATCGCGAAAAACATACTGTAGTGGAGGAGCAAAATACACGAAATACACCGGGTGCTTTGGCGAAGGCTTTCAAAAATCCTAGAAATGGGCGTAGTTGTGTAAAATAGAAGCTCTTGCCGGGAACAAGCTGCCAGCTGCAGCGGATGTCAAGCATTGCAAAATTCATCCTAATTAGTTAAAAAATTATGTAATATTTACTAATTACCCTTTTAATTAATCTAAATAAGCATGCGATTTCAATAAGAATATTGCTCAGCATCATCAAACACCACTAAATTGACTCGTATCGGAAATATATATACAGAAAAAACAAACAAACAACATTTAATAACGTTCAGAAAAACAAAAACAAAGAAATCTCTCAATTTGGACGCGTTTTTTGGTTTCAGTTTCTTGTTGGTGCGCTTCTTTGCGCCAGCGATCCTGCCCCCCGGCGTCCGAGGCGTGAAGCTAGTGCCACGCCTACTACGTAGGCCTCGTAGGGTGTAGGGAAGCATCACGCGCGTGCGTTGCGCGTGATGCAGGGAGTAGGGCCGCTGGTGCAAGAGGTGCGCTCCGATATAAAAATCCGAATCTAAAAACGCGTCCAAACGGGACGCCGCAAAATGTTGTCCTGCTTTATATTTTTCTAAAATAAGTTGATTTTGTGGTTTTTGATGATGATGAAGATTCTTACTAGAGCCATGTTTTTTCACCAATTAAAAATATAATTAGTAAAATTTAGTTCATATTTAATGAAGTAGTATGTTTCTTGAATCCCTGACGTCAGCCTTTGCTGAAAGTCCTTTCCCGGAAAGAATTTCTTCTTATTTCAGCCACAATACTTTAGCGATTTTTGGAAGTCTTTGCTGAAATACCGGGATTATGTTCATAAACAAAGTTAGGCAATGTGTGTATATATATATATATATATATATATATATATATATATATATATATATATATATATATATATATATATATATATATATATATATATATATATATATATATATATATAAAACGAGTGTTTTTTTAGCAGGTTTTGCTACAGCGTGTTCATTAGAGCGGACAAGCGGAACTTACAGTAGACGGATAAGTACAAAAATGTCGGGCTGTCCGGGGGCACCGGTGGCCGAGTGTGTAAGCGCACCGCAGTTTGGAGCTCGTGGACGAAAAGCTCGGGCTGCGGAATCCGAGGATCATGTTGCTTTTGATGTGAACTGTCACCGTACCTGTGTGCTGTCGTGAATGCACCATTGTGTAACGCACGTTGAAGATCCCAGGTTTGCAGTTGTACTGCACTGGTCAAATTGCCTCCCTACAGTGGACATAAGGTGCTATTTTTAGACGGTCTAACTTCCAACTGGCGTGCAACACAATCGCAGTAGTCTTGAAACTTTCAACTTAAGGATGGAGCTAGTGGAGCTGGAAGGAGGTAATGAAACGAGGAAATAATTCCCCTATATGATGTTGTAAGATGTGGAGGAACTAATTACTAAAGTACATGTACACCAGGGTCTGAAGTCGTTCATTAATTGCTTTAGTAACGATACGACGTCTCAAACATGAGGCGAATTGATTCGAGCGCACGCGACAATTGTTGCATTGATGGGTTGGACATATTTGTGGATGAACAAAATTCATGCATACGTGAAACTCAGCTACAGTTCGAAACACAAACATTGAACATTTGAATAAAAAATGACGTAGAAGTTATAGATATCTTTCGACGTGAGCGCGTTGGTAAAGGTAAATAATACAGAAAGAATCAACATAGGGATGGACAGAACAGCACATCTTTCGTTACTTTCAACATAAAGAGCGTCTATTAGGCGTGCTGTTTTGTCCGTCCCTATGTTTACTCTTTCTGTTTTATTTAAGTTATAGAAACCATGCCTTCTGATAGCGGGTTTTATTCGCTCGTTCTAGATGGCCGGAAAGAGTATTTAAACTCTTCCATTATATGTTAATACTCTCTCACCGTTTTTCATTGATTCCAGCTTTGTTTTATATTTTTTTTTTTGTTTTATTATCACACTCGGCGAGAGCGATTTTGTGCTACTTTGTCGGGGCTACCGTTTCTTCCGCAGTGCTCTAACGCTGTCAAAGCTAAGTGCGCGAGCTACGCTGGCCTTGACAGCGTGGCACAAAATTGCTGACGACGAGTATAGGTTCTTAAGGGGCGTCCCCAAAGTTCTCGAACTTAAAGCGCTCGATATTATGACTTATCCAAGTACCGCCATCGTTTGATCGCGCTGCGGGCACTCCTATCGGATGCTTGCAAATGGCGGTGACGCGTCGCCGTTTTGCAAGCACGCTCCTGTTGGTCTACTGTTGATGCCGGCTCCACGCCGCCTGTGGGTATGCTGTGGTTGCCGGCGACGCGCCGCCGTTTGCATGCACGCTCCTGTTGGTCTACTGTAAGTGCCGGCGCCGCGCCGCCTATGGGTCTGCTGTGGCTGCCGGTGACACGCCGCCGTTTGCGAACACGCTCCTATTAATCTACTGTAGATGCCGGCGCCGCGCCGCCGCGACGAACAAGATTGGCGGCGACGCTCCGCCATGTTTGGTTCAAGTGCGTCCCAGCATGCACCCGCTTGGTGGTACTTGTTAATAAAATCCATCCAGCGCTTTACTCGAACTGACACAGAAGGAGTGCGAGCACAGACACGAAACTTTATTATAGCGCATGGGCACTTCGTAAGATACGCGACACCAAAAGTGCGCATGCGCAATGCGGGTTTTCTCGCGGCGGCCGCCAACAGGTCACGATTGGCGGAGTCGAGCTAAAATGAAGAATTTGAAGACACGTTCGTGCTGAGTGAATATTTGTCTCGGACGAGCCCAACTCCGTCAAGCATTTACAAACACTAGGTGGCGACGTAGGCACAGGATGGTTCATCCCACAGCACGAAGAAGTGGTGGGCCGCGAATTTCAATCGGGGATTAGGGAGGCTCGAAGGCGACCCCTGCCTTTGCAGACTAGCGGAAGTGATCGCGCAGGAAAACACCGACCGTGTGCACGGTGAGGATCGCCGAGTAAGAATTCGGACCATTGCACAGGTCACAAGCATACTCCAAAACCACAGTTCAGTGCATTCTGACCAAACACCTTGATATAATGTCACGAATGACGAGGTGACGAAACAAAGAATAATTGGGGAAACTCGAACGTTTAATGGGGCGAACTTGTGCCCAAAAATAAAAAAAAGGAAACAGAAGATAACAGCAGAGCCTCGCGGGCGTCGAAGTTGGCGTAACCAGAGTCGAACGCTGGGGCGAGACTGACATTGGCTCGCCACGCGGAACCACAGTCAGCCCCTTATACACACGCGTCGGCTTCTGGAGCGATCGGCGTAGAAGGTTCGGCACGTATAACATTCGGACCTTGAACAAGCAATAGGATTCTAGAATTTACGAGAACACTAAATTGCAAGAATAAATAAAAGGCGCTTCGCTCCCAGCAATTCTAGAATTTACCTAAACACTAAATTGCAAAAATAAATAAAAGGGGCGTCGCTCCCAGGAATCGAACCCTGTCTCTTCGCATGGGAGGCAAGCACGACAACCGTTGGGCAATGGCCGCGCTGCCTACTTGGGCAGCTGCGCGAGCGGGAATATGCGTAAGGTTTCCGCCAGATGCGTTCCAAGGTTACTCTCGTGTGAACATAAACGCACCCGCTCCGCCACGTACAGGGACAACGTCGAGCTGCTCAAGTAAGATCCCACAGGCTTCTGTGCCCGATTTGTGGCCTATGAACAAAACTTGGGTCCTCCACTTTCAACCCGGCAACAAAGTACAGCCTAAACGGTGGGAACACTCCTTCCCTCCACTGCCGAAAAAGGCTCGGTCTGTTTCATCAGCAGGCAAGGTGATGACCACGCGGTTTTTTGGGATCTCGGAAGGCGTGCGGTTCAATGGTCACCTTCAGAAAGCGTACAACATCACCGGGAACGACTACGCAACACTTATTCATCGTTTGCAGGATGCCATTAAGGCCAAACGTCGTAGTATGCTCCGGAAGGGGGTGCTGTTCTATCAAAACAACAACCCCCCCCCCCCCCCCCCCCCCCTCCCCACCGCTCTGCTGTGGCGATGACTGCTATCCACTCTTTCTGCTTTTTTTGTGATGAACCCTCCACCGCACTCGCCAGGTCTCGCCTCATTAAACTTACATATTATCTTCCAGATAAAAAAACAAAAAACAAAAAAACGACAACAAAACGTTTTTTTTTTTTTTTGTGATGGCTCTTCGATGTTATGACCCATTTTTGGAAGACCCGAATTCTCATTTTTTTCCAAGGGTATCCAGGCACTGAATCATCGTTGGCTGGAGTTTATGGACTTCCAATGGGACTATGGCAAAATGTAACATAAGTTCAATCACCTTTGTCGCCTCCCTCTGGGTCAGGCCGATAACTTTTGGGATGCCTCTAGTACTGACTGACGTAAATTAAAAAAAAAAGAAAAAAAAAACAGTATGCAATGGGACGGTCTCATTCACATATACCGCTTTCTGAACGATAAGAAACGACAAATATATGCAATTTTTTATAATTTTCTTTAGTATATTTTGTCTAAAAGTTTAATTGCATAGTGTAAATCAAGCTGTTCAATGTTTAACTTTCTCTAACTGGTCACTCAAAAACTAAATATACTTTGAAGGGCGTTTTTCAGTGGATCAGCTGAATTTATGTAAGAATAAAACAGGGTAGTTAATACCTTGTAGTACTCCGAAATAGGCAGCGAGAACTAACAACTGACTATCTACTGAGAATTCGCCAGCTTCTAATGTCCACAGTTTTAATTCTCACGTTCGTTGGGATGTATATGTTTAATTGTTCGACTCGTTAAATGATCGTACAATCGAGTTCATTATTTCAGTACGTTGCGCGTCTTCACCCTTTCTCGCCAGGTGGACATGCTGGATCCCGTTGAATCTAAAACGGGCAAGTACGGCGTTCTGTCCCTGCGTACTCCTCCGGCCTCCCCGTCCTCCGTGGGAGGCGGCGCGGACTCCGCCTTCGAGTCGTCCGACGTCCTGGACCGCTGCCTAGACGTCGCCGAAGACGTCGAGCCCGACGTCGACGAAGAAGGTGACCGACGTTGTCTTCTCGTATTCGACACTCCCTACATGACAGGGCCGTAGGTCTGGATGTTTAACTACAGTGGCCGGAATGTGTTTACGAATGGTGTGTTTAGCGTCCTATTCCACCCACGCATCGAAGGTGGTCCCGAAGGAGCATCAAATGATGTCATAGAATCCGGAGTGTCATGCTGTCGAATGTCGCGATCCCGGCGGTTGGACGTAGAAGCTCCGGCGAAAAGCACGAGCGAACGCTGGTGTCGCTGACGTCGCGGCGTCGCGATTCCTGGCTTCTGAAGCTTCCGTGGCCTGTCAAGCTGGAGAGCGACCTGCAGCAGAACAGGCGTCTGCCACATCCACCACCGCTAGTATAACGCCGCCAGGATCGCGGTCGGCGACAGCGTGACGCTTGTAGGACGTCATCAGGCGGAGGTCGAGGGACCACTTTTTTGGTCGCGGTAAGCACACCAGTAGGAGACGCGTTCCAGGCCCCATAGTTTTACGTCAGCTATCGGAGGCCGACTTGGACACAGATTTGACATGAGTGCTACGTCAGCATTCGGCTGGGATTTTCGACCAATCAGGCGAAGACACGAGTTTCAACCGAACGTGGACGCTGTGCTCGTGTCCAATCAGTGCCATTCGCTGGCCTCCAGACCAGTGGCGTTCTCGTGGCTGCTTCGGATGGGCCCGATTGATTTGTGCTCGAGCCGTTAACAGTACTACACTGTAACGGTACGAGCCGTGCTTTTTATCACTCGTGCATTTCCAGACGTATCTCGGAGCCTTTGGGACTCCCGCCGCCCGCACTCCCTATCCGCTGCAAGAGGGGGCGGCGCTGCCGTCGGCAGCGACGCTGTGAGGAACCGCAGTGGCGCCGGAGCAGACGACGACCCGGCCGGAAGTGGCGTCAGGCATGGCGTCAACTTCCGGGTGCAGGACGTGGTGGTGCGCATGCGTTCGAGAGCGTATGGCAGGCCGTCTCGAGCCTGGAGTGGCGTTAGACGTGAGTGCGAATTTCTACTTGGTCTAGTTTTGTTTGTGGTTGTCTGGACCGACCTCTTACAGAATGCCGCAGCTGATATTCTGTCGTCACTCACTTTCATACTCAAAGATAAGTGCGCGGCCTGTCGAAGTTGTTGCGACAGTAGGCACCTTTATTGTTAGTCGGTCCAGGAGATATTGGCATTTTGGACGGGGCGGACTACTTGTAGAGATTACTTAACTTGATTCTGATGCTTCCGAGACAGTAGGCTTGTGTTTTCATTCGCGACGACGTGGTTAAGCAAATTTAGTGTTGAATGCTGTTTTAATTTTGTTCATATTGACACATGAAATTGGCAAATCAGGACTTCTTGTGTGGGAAATGGCAAACGATCACTTTAGCTAATCCCTAATTGCCATGGAAGCAACTTGGCTAACAGGTCATGACGTTAACCAATCCCAGCTTGACATAAAAGGAGAGGAACAAGTAATATACTTAGCTAAGCACAACTTGCACGTGAAAAAATATTTGAAACAGGTCATGCCTGTTTTGTGAATCATAGATTTTCATGAAAACAGTACGACAGCCTTGCCATGTAAGCCAACCACAGCTTGCCATAAATCAGGATGGGAAACGACTCGCGCTTGACGCAGCATGGAGGACGGGCCACGAGATTAACCAATCACAGCTTGTCGTCAAAGAAAAATATGACACAAGCCATGCATGTAACCAGTCACAGCTTCCTCTGAAACAAAGTTTGCAAACAAGTCACATATTTAGCCAATCGCAGATTTTTATTTTTAACGACACGTTACCTTAAACTAATGATATATCTAACGCGTTTCCCCTGAGCCACAGAGCAATTTCCCAAAAACCTGTTTAAAAGACAAAAAACAAAAAACGTCGGCGACAACAATGAACGAACTTTTATTGTTTTTGCGGTACCTATCTACACCAATCACAACTTATTGACGAGACAAGTGAGGTGCTTCACATGCCCTACTTCATCGAATGACGTTCGCGCTTGTGGCGTACTTCGCGCAGGTTCCTCATCCTCGCTCCAAATTTATTTTCCCAGCAGATGACCCGAACACAGACGTTCGGGTCATCTGCTGGGCTTCATGGAAAAGAAAAGTGCAACGGTCAAGTGTAATGAAAAAAGTGTCACACGCGGGCCGAGGTAACATAAAGCTTGCAGATAGCCCGTAGCAGCAGTCAGTGCCTAAGCATCGAAGCAAGGCATGATTGGTCATAATATTTCATGCTTAATCATGAGTAGGAATGCATAATCATGAGTAGGAACCATCAGAACTTCGGACAAAACTCAATCGATAGGCTAAAAAGCGCGATAAACATCCTCCCCCCTGGCAATTTACTTCGGTTACCACAAGGGGCTCCTCACAATTCAAGAGCACTAAGAATTCAAGGCTCTACCACGCACCCACCAACATAAGCAGAACCCGCGAAAAGAAAAAAAAAGACCTCTCATTAAAACACGCTCGTGACTTACCCTACCTTCGAAGAAAGTTAAACTTGTCTCGATGATTCCGATGAACCAGGAGCCAAACATAGCAAATTATAACGTACGCATAACACATTCACGGCACATTCTGTACTCATGGGGTTCATTAGAATGATCGGAGCAAGTTTTTGTTAATCTACCGTCATACTGCACCGAGGCCGTGCGCCGAAACTGTGCGTTGCCGAGGCTATACAAGGACGCGGACGCATATTGAGGAAGTGCATTAGTAACAGGTATAGACTGAGTGCTTAGACTCGCGCACGCTGTGGATGTAAGATTTAACGCACGTCGCTCGCCGTGAGAGCCTGTTAGAGGAAAAAGTAAAACAAGGAAAGAAAAAAAAAAAAGGTGGAAATAGGGGCAACAAGTCTACGGAAGGGAATGCATGGATTCGAAGGGGATAAGAATAGGGAAAGGGGAGACGTAGAAGAAAAACGGGGGAGGGAAACTCGGAGAGATTGGGGTGATTGGAAGAGTTTAAAGGAGGTTTTGAGTGGACGCTAGGCTCGAGGGAATAAGGGAGAAAGCAGTCCCCAAAGTGTGGGAGAGGTGGTGGAGTAGGGCATCTAGGGAAGAAACGAGAGTGAAGGGGGGAAAAGGAGAGAAGGAAGGAATGAGGAAGCAGACAGCGAGCGAGAAGAACGGGAGAAGGAGGTAAGAGGAAGGGAGTAAGGAGAAGAAATACGGGAGAGATGTCGGGAAAGAGACATTTTAGGAAAGGAATGGCAGCAAGTGAGAGAGAAGGTGAGTCGCAACGAATGAGGAGGCGGAAGAGGAGCGAGACGGAACGGGCAGGGAGGTAAGAGGAAGGGAATTACAGAGAGTGGAAATGGGGGAGACCTTGGGGAAAAGACGTATTTGGGGAAAGAAATAGCGACAAGTGAGAGGAGATGAGTGGGAGAAGGAATGAGGGATCGGACGACGAGCCAGAAGAACGTGAGAGGGGGATGTGGAGTAAGGAGGGAAAATACAGGGTAGACTTTGGGGAAAAGACATTCTTTAATGAGAGAGGAGGGTGGAGAAGGAGAGTTTTAGAAAGAAAACGGAAAGGATGTTTAGGGAAAAAGGTCTGGTAAGGAGCGGGATGTGTGCGAGGGCAACGGAGGGAGCGGACGTAGGTCGAGTCCCTGTTTGGGGAAGAGACGGTCGCCTGGCAACGAGACGCCGCAACGAAGCTACAGGCTCTGCCGGTGCTCGCATGCAAATTGGCAGCATCAGGGCTCGGCACGTTTCTTTCGTTCGGGATGGAAGTATAGCGCTCTCTGATGGCTTAGATAGATATCCTTCGTATTCGATGTTTTAAGGGAAATAGTTTTTCTTTTATTTGGAGAGGATATATCTCGTAAAAGGAAAGGACGGGGGGGGGGGGGGTTGTTCCAAGCGCTTTTTTTTGTATTTATTTGCGTGTTTTTTTTTTGGGGCGCCGACCATATTATGGGTCAGATAGGCACCGTTGCGAGTAGAGCGTCGGCGAATTTGAATGGGTTGCATAATAGACACGTTTCGAGCGCTCGGGCCAGACATATTTGGTTCGGGTCGGCACCGCGTGATGATAGCGGCGTTGCGGTAGTTTATCAGTTTCGGGTAGCGAAGAGATTGTGTTGTAGAAAAAAGATATAATGGTGATAGGGTACATGAATGCCTCTTTCGAATGGCTCTCGAAAGTTCTCTTTGTTGTTGATTTGGCCAACTTAATAAACTAATGTTGACACACACACACGCACACACACACAAACGCAAAACGTTGATTGGGCGTCGTTTGCTACTATTCCCCTTTATACAATAGCGGATGGAGTTAAGCGTTTCATATGTTTTTATAACTGCGGCTTTTAAATGAGACATCTATTGATATAAATACTTAAAAATTGAGAGTCGCAAACCAAAAAGATATTTTGAATGGTGCCACTTTGTCAATGGACCAATGCGATGTAATTCCGTCTGTTTACAGGTTCAATACATTATATTTGGTTCAGAAACGATATTATTAAAACGCCTTGGTAAACAAAAACAAAATAATGGGGAGATTTAAAGAGGAACAAAAATAACACACCACAACCAGAAACTAAAACAAGACATGCAGAATATGCGTTTATATTTGAAAGCAGTTTTGACAAAGCACCGTCTGTTTTTTTTTTCTGCCTTAGTATAATAAATTGTTGAAACGTAATGTGTTTCTAATTCGTGACTAACCATTACCAAAATTATTGCACCTACAGGCAATTATTCACTCGATCTACCGCTAGAGCCTTGAAGCGATTGCCATTACACTTTTCAATGAGCCGTATATCCTCTATTTTCTGGCCCTCGGCCGCTATGGGCACCATAAGCCTGGTGCAACCTCCCCATCTTTTCAACGTCTTCGCCTTTTTACACCCCTTCCAGTCTGGGTATAGAAATGACGGTGAGCTGCAACGCGAACCGTGTGCCTTATTTTGTTTTTTTCCGCTCCCCTGCTCCTAGGGGCGCCACAGGCGTGGAGTAACTGACCCACGCTCCCAACGTATCCGCCTTACTACACCACTTCCGTTTTAGGTAGAGAAATGACGGTGCCCAGCAATGTTCAGCCTATACCCCATTCTTTGCGGCCCCTCCGACGCTACACGCTAAGAAATGGGGGATGTACGGGTTTGCACCGCTTGTCCCATATGTAACTCCCCAAAGTAACAATTCGAGCCCAGTCTACAGACGGAGAAACGGCGATAGCAATTTTGAAGAGCGGCTTGATTGTCGACCGATACAACCTAATCCAATAGCTAATGTACGCGTTAATGGCTACAGTAAGACAATCAAGTTTTTTTTTGGCCCCGTCTCAAACCCTCAGTGTTTTTGTTTTTTAGCCTTCGATACAGACATTAGTTATTTAATTCGTTATATTCAACAACTATCAAGCAACTCGTAAAAGTTGGTATCGCCAGCCCGCCGTCAGTGGACTGAACGTTCAAACGTAGTTTTGGGGAATTACAGCTGGAATAAGGGGTTACCCCCTATGCACCCCTTATTTCTAAGAGTGTAGGGGCGCCACAGGGGGTGGTGGGACTTCCCTGCGAACCTGACACCTCTTCCTTCCTACCGCACTCACATTTTAGGCAGAGACGTGATGGTGCATAGGAATGCGAATCGTACACCCCTTTTTTTTGGCCCTCGGCCGCTAGAGGCGCCAAGGGCACCGCTCAACTTCTTTATGATCCTAACGTCCCCGCCTTCCTACAGCGCTCTTATCTTAGATATAGAAATTACAGTGAGCAACGATGCGAATCGTATACCCCACTTTTTCTGTCCCTCGACCACTAGGGTAGCCATAGGCCTGGCACAACACTTCTATCTTTCCAATCATCTCCACCGTCCTAGCGCTTTCATTTTAAGCAGAAGAATGACGGTGAACAGCAACGTGAATCATGTACCCTATTGTTTTCTGTCCCTCGACCGCCAGGGGCTCCACAGGCCTGGCAGAACCTCCTCATTTCTCGAACGCCCGCCGCTTTCATAGGACGCTTTCATTTTAGACAGAGAAATTACGGTGAACAGCCCGCCGCCTTCATAAAACGCTCCAGTTTTAGACAGAGAAATTACGATGAACAGCAATGCAATTCGTATACCCCATTTTTTCCGGCCCACGGCCGCTAGGGCGGCGCCACAGGCGCAGCGCAACTTCCCCATGTTCCTAACGCCTCCGCCTTCCTATAGCGCTCCCATTTTAGGGAAAGAAATAACGGCGCACAGCAATGCGAAGCGGGCCTTTCACGGTCCCCGCGGACGACATCCCAGACGACGTCGTCTATGGGACGCACCGACAACCAGTCTGGCTTCCTCCTATTTTCCATGAATAACTTAAGAACCTCCCCTAAAGCGACTTCCCCAGACTCCTGGAGTGTCGTCTCGTATCGTAGGATAAGATGGTACATCCACCCCATAGGCGCGGGAGGCGGCGGACGACGGTGGCGGCTGTAGAACAAGGTCGTGACAAATATTCACAAGCAACAAAAAAGAAAAAGAAGTGCCGGAAACGTGGAGAAGGGCGGGAGGGTGCGTCCCATTTTCTTTGTTCTTAGCTTAGCCGGAGCAAATGGAGGAGTGAGCAGAAAAGATAAAATTGCAGCGAAACAGGAAGAGGTGTCTAAGTACGTGAGAGAAAAGACTAGGGGGGTAGGGGAGGTATGGTGACAAAGTATGTCGATACCGGGAACTTAGCGGCTGGATCTTCGCTTTCGGGAGTGCAAGACGCGGCGACCGTAGTCCCAAAGTCTGGCTTACATTATTTTGGTATATGTATGCTTTTTTTTTGCAAGCACGTTTACTGCTTCATTCTGTGCAGTTTTTTTTTTGGGTTGCTTTAGTGGCTTGAATCGATGAGAAAGCTTTTTGCACGAGGATCGAGAACGACAAGAAGTCGGGGAGCGAAAACTAGATGGGACGGTGTACAACGCGCTGTTTTTTACACCTAATTTTTTGTATATAGTGCATTAACTGTATGACTTTTTTATTTGACTTTTTTTTAAAGAAAGAGCGGATCGCATTATAAAAGAAGAAAAATGATATTCGCAAGAAAAAAAAAAAAAAAAAAAAAAAAAAACGAAACGTGGTGGCGATACTTCGCTACTGATACCGCGAGAAGGCATTTCCCCAATCCCCTGGGGAAATCAGGGAGAGTTACACGCGGTGATCGGGAGCTTGGGGAGAAAGCATCTAGGGACAAAGAAGGATGCAGATACAAAAAAAGTACAAAAAAAGATATGAAGACAGAAAAAGAGAGAGAGAGAGAGAGAGCGCACGATGTTTGACAGCTCGCGCATCTTGCGCGAGGCTATTGACTTAAGAGCTCGTAACATCGACACTCGTACCCTTTCCCGATTTTCCCCATTGGTCCCGGATTGGAAGTTGGGCTTACGCGACGATCGGTTCTTGTCTGGAGTTTGGGGATTTGGGGATGAGGGAGGAACCGTGGGGGGATTGAGGGTGGTTAAACGGTGCTAGTTCTCTTTAAGCGCGGGTCTCACGGGGGAGTTGTTGCCACGGTAACGGGATGGGGGGAAGGGCGATGGCTTCCGGGATGGACAACGTGCGAGGGATTATTCGGCCTGACGTCGTCCTCCTAGCCATCGTTCTTGTTTGACTTGTGGCCGATATCTCGGATCCGTCTGTTTTTCTTCCTATGGTGACCTAGGCTAGGGCGACCTGAGAAGTCCCAGTTTTATCACGGTTTGTGTCAACTAGGTTCTTGTTTTGTGGCGATGGAAGACGAGGACGTGTTGGGGGTTTTTCTTTGTAATAGGATCCTCGACAGTATTGATTTTTGTTAGTGGTGACTACGATGTCGTAGAATTTAAAACGGATTTTTTCTACTTCTTTAGGTTGGGACCAATTCGTTTACCCGCCGTGTAGTTTGGTCAAACAAAGAACAAGCACGCTTCGCAGACACACCACATACTGTTCATCATAGATCAGGCATTTTTCAAGGATAATATTCCCAACGAGCGCCGAAGGACGTAGTTTTCAAATCAGCGATATCTACGAAAGATTGCTCGTGTCCCCAACAATATGTTTTTGTTATGTCGGCAACCTGTGGTCCTTGCTTGTTTGCCTGGTGTGACTAGAACGTTAGCAGGTCTGTGCATGGACACAGCTTAAGTGAAGTGTATGAACGCATTATTTTGGTCGGAGCTCAAGGTGTGTGAGAGCAAATATGGTCATAGCTTTGACCACACTGGCAGAGAAAAACGTTTTGATGGAAAGTACACTGACAGCTCATCGCCCAAAGCAAACATAATCCAGGTGCATGCCGCTAGGTTTGATAGTAAATCTCTTGAAATGTATATTTATGCTGGGTTATCCTCTCCGACTTTCCATAATCTATTTGCTTCTTTTGTAACCAACGCCCACGATCGGCCTGGAGTGGCACCCATAACATTGATCGCCTTATAATCTGCGTTCCAGCTCGTACACATTTGCGTGTGGCATTTGTTTGTGAGCCAATAACTGATGCTGCTTCGTGTATTGCAAGCGGACATACCTTTTTTTTTTCACCGTATGACGTACAAAGGCCAAAGCCACGTCCGATAGGTACAGCCACGAGTCGGTGAAAAACTGCAATCTATACCTCTCATTCAATGTACGTCTCAGTTGGACACTCTGACACACATAAATAACTTACATCCCGAAGAGTTTAAATGTCCTGCCAGGGGTGCTACAGCAGCACCCTTAGCAGCTAATTAGGATGGTGGTGAACGCCTAAAATTGAAGGCCGTTATTCTTAGCAGCACTCTAGAGGTGCATTTTACGAGCAGCAAGTGTTCAAGCAACAGGCACCACATGTAGTTTTCAGACATACAGGAAGGTAAACAAGACGCAGAAATCATGACACTGTGGACTGCTCCACCGCCTTGTATACTCGATATTTCAAAAAATCTCCTCCACAGGTGATAGCCTCCGCCTTTACGAAGGTTTTACGTATGTTGCTTTGTTCTTAATATTTCACATAACGCATAATGTATCTAATTTTAAGCTCAAGTTGAGGCTTGGGCGAGTTGATACATACTTCGGAATTAGAAACAGCGCGAAAAGACGAGGACCAGACAAAAAATTGACACGGGCGTAGCGCTGACTTACAACTGAGTTTATTGAACGCAAAATCGCAATATATATCTGCGGTGTCACGAACAAAAGAGAACAAAGAATTCAGCCCACGTGATGCATTACCAACAAAAATAAAACAATGATAAAAATCTATATAATAAAAAAAAGCGCCATGACACAGCTGTACTGAGTACGTGCTAAAAAAATGAGCAAGTCAGGGAACCAGAAAATTCACCTTTTTTGCCTGATAGAGCCAAAGAAGGACTGCTTACACATGCTGCACCCAACCTCGTTATCTCAACAGCCTCTATAATTTCCCGAGTAAGCTGGTAGGTAAGCTGGGAGTAAGTCAGCTTACTCGGGAAATTCTAGAGGATTTTGAGATAGCGAGGTTGGGTGCAGCATGTGTAAGCAGTCCTTCTGTGGCTCTATCAGGCAAAGAGGTGAATTTTCTGGTTCCCTGACTTGCTCTTTTTTTAGCACGTACTCTGTACGGCTGTGTCATGGCGCTTTTTTTATTATATATATTTTTTTATTATTGTTTTATTTTTATTGGTGATGCATCACATGGGCTGAATTCTTTGTTCTCTTTTGTTCGTGACACCGCAAATATATATTGCGATTTTGCGTTCAATAAACTCAGTTGTAAGTCAGCGCTACGTCCGTGTCACTTATTTGTCTAATCCTCGTCTTTTCGCGCTGTTTTTAATTCCGAACTAATTTTAAGGAATGTATCCCCCTGTACAAAGCATTGGTCCATGCAATAAGTATTCGAGATTGTAGGTAAAACAACTCCGATAAAGTTGTTTGTGAAGAGCGAAAGTTCGCCTAAATTCACCCGTACCTTCACACCCTTTTTATACCCTTCAAAAATAAATGGTGCTGAGTGCAACAGCACCCTAGTTTGCGATAGAAAAGGGTGTATTAGGTTGAAGTAAGGGGGCTGTTAGGATGAAGCTATAATGTAGGTTTCTGGTTTAGAGTTTCGTAAAATGTTGTAGTCTGTCGTAGCAATATATACTGCATGGTTCAAGATGCGCTCATGCTTGCAACTGTTGACCCTTTGTTCTGATGTTGTCCATTATAGGATCTTATAAAGCATAGGTTCCTTTGTCTGGCCTTGTAAGCTGGGGTGGGGTATGCAACGTGGTTTGAGGATTTGTCGGATCAAGCCGGTCCAAATGCGTCCTGGTTTCGCCCCGTCCTCAAGGTGGTGTCATGGCGCGGGTGCAAGTGGCCCGCACGGTGTGGCCGTACATGCTGAGCATAGCCCTGGCGTACTTCGTCACGCTGTCCTTGTTCCCGGGCATCGAGAGCGAGATCGTGTCCTGCCGCCTCGGGTCCTGGATGCCTGTCCTGCTCATGGCGCTCTTCAACGCGGCCGACTTTTTCGGCAAGGTGAGAGCTCGGACAGGATGCTTGTTCTTTTTTGAAAGCACGAAACAATTTTTTACGGAATCCACCAATCCCAAAAGTTTGTCCGTCCGTCAGACCGGCTGTGCATTAAAAAAAAAAAAAAAACATTTAGTGGGGAAATTGACGTCATGTGACCTGACGCCACGTGACCTATGAACCAAGTGGAGAAATTGATGTCACGTGTCCTATACGTCAGTTTGGTTTCCCCGCTAAATTTAGCGGGCAAAATGACGTAGCGTGACATATTCACCAATTCAGTCTCTCTGCTACATATAGCGGGAAAAGAGGCGTGCTGTGAACTGAACACCAGTTCAATTTCCCCACTAAATTTAGCTTTGAAAATCGCCGTAACGTAACCGAATCTCACGTGACCTACGGAACAATTTAAATTCCCCACTAAATTTATCGTTGAAATATACGTCGCATGGTACACCAATTTCCTCTCCCCATTCCCTACTCTCCCTTCCCTTCCCCTTTCTCTCCTCGTCTTTTCCCCCTTCTATGCTGTCCTACCCATCTTTTCTCACTGGAACAACTGTTTACTGTCTTCCAAACAATTGAAGTTATCGCTACTGCATTTAAATAATTATAGGACTTTGAAGATAAAAGTCGCTACCAATCTTTAATTATAAATTGTTAATCTTATCTTGAAGCAGTACGTGCTGTTGTACTTCCTTCGCTGCTTTTAGCCCTTCCCGATCGGTAAATGTATCCAACATCAGGCAGTACCCGAATGGCCGAAAGTCGGTAGTGGGTGCAAAATTTGCAGACTGCAGATTTTTTTGAAGGCGGATCTGCGGACTGCAGATTTGGGAATGCGGACCAAGTTTGTTTTTTGAGTGGGAGATTGCGAGTGCTGCAACTTGGGTGGGGCACGGCGCACGAATTTCAGATTTCGGACGGCAAATGGCGGATGGTATACTGGAAATTTTAGTGTTGCAGATGGTGCATGACGGACGGCATAACACAAATGGCTAAGTAATAGTTTGTGAGGAGCCGGCTTTAACATGTTGGCTGCGGGCAGTGTAACATTTAATGGGAGCGCTACACTGACGAAGAGATTTGCTATTCCTGGATATTTGTGGACACGAAGTAAAAAGCTACGCATCCGTGCGCTCGGCCGATAAACGCTGTGCACGGCCATTCTCCACTTCTGAAATGCTATAGACAGTTTTTATACCCGTGTATAAGCACGTTCGCCTCTTGCATGTTATCAAAGGTTTCCTTTTTCTTCCCTCTTCCTTCGTTGTGTTCTACTTTGACGTACATGTGACGTTTTTCCATGGAATGTTTGAGTCAACCTTGACGCACATGCACCATGATCGAGTGGCGTTAATCTGTCTTGTGCGCATCTGCTGAAGTTGCGTGCTGCTCCACTACTCAACTATTGACGTTACTTCGCGCCTGTGTGCATACGTTTTCCACTTGTGGGCACGTAGACTATGCTACACTGTTGGCTGAAAAAAGTATATCGGCGCTTCACTTTGAATTTGCGTGTTACTTCGCAATTTTTCGGAATTTACTTTGAAAATGTATTGGTGGTCGCCTAATAGTCCCGCTAAGGTTAGCGCTTTAAATGATCACTTTTCAACAAAATAGTAGTATTGACGACGATCTTTTGATTTACGGGTGAAAAAAAAGCTAAAGATCGCCTGTTAGAGCTAATAGTGTAGCGCAGAGTACATGCGCACATGAACATGTGCGCTGTGGAATTACGAAAGGAGGTAAGCGAAATATCGGCGTTTAATGTTGTATAATGACCTAATTATCGGTTCCATTGTCTTTGTTGTCGATGAGATTTCGCAGGCGTAATTTCCGACGATACGACAAATTGAAGTTTAATTTTACTTTCCAATAGATTAAGCCGACGTTGTGTCTATATATGCTTCTCAAAAATTTTGATGGACTCTGCATACACGCGAGCGCACACACATACATACTGAAACGCACATTTAACTAAGAAACTCAAGCATCCCTCCACCTCCTCTCCCCGCCCCCCCCCCCCAAAAAAAAAAAGAAAAAAAAAAAGAAAAAAAATATTTGCGGAGATAGTGCTGCAAAGCTTCGGACACAGGGATGAGTACGTGCACCCCCTAGCGGATTCCGCCGGCGTAACGACCCGGCAGGAGTGACCGCTCGGCTCACTTGACCGCGACCACGAGGAAATGGTGCGCGCGATGACGATGGTATTTTATTCTGGTAGTTCAGGAATGAGCTGGTCTTTCGGAATGCCGGAGTTGCTGATGTAACGATCGGAAGCATTTTTTTTTCGGTACTTCGTACTTTGCGTGATTTTGTTTTTGGCAGTTTTTTTTTGTCGTAGGTTGATGAGAATTACGGGTCCGGGAGGTTGATGCTTCGACCGGTGTTCGTTGCTGCAATGCTAGTAATGCTCGTGTTTTTGCTGTTAAGAGTGCAGCATCGGTGTAGTAATACAGTTAAGGCTGGCTGTATTTATGCTCTTTCTTTTAACAAAACTACCTCTCGTGTATGAAGAACTGACAGTGTATGTGACAGGCGTGGGGAAGGGTAGCACTTTCGCCAGTTGCTTTTGTTTGGCTGCGATAATGCGATTTTTCGCCGACGTTGGCACGAAGATAATCAACTAAAATAAAACCTATATTAAAAATTGAATGAAATGTTGTTAGTTTAGGTTGCAGTTTACTTCTGTCTTATGTGAGAAAACATGCACTTTTCTTTAACTTTCGACTCGATTCCATTGCATTTATTCCATCTGTCGCTTGAACACAGTATGCATATTTTTCAATTTGAAGCAATGCATTTTAACTTTTTAAGCATTTTGAAAGCAAGCTGAGGAAGCGCAGGCTCTGTTGGTTAGCTTAATGATGGAGGTGTAATCTAGGATTCTGTGAAGTAAAACATATACACGAGGTAATATGCTGTCTTCGAAAAGGGCCCTTTTCATGATCTGGATCTAACTTGTCAAAGGTCGGAAGATATGAAGATTGTTTTACACAGTAAGTTATCAGGCGATCTTTATGGAATTTGTAAAGATTTGGCTGAACGGCCGGCTGTGACGAAATACCGACACCGAAAAGTGCTATGCCCTTAGGAAACCACATAAAAAGCTTTAGTCCCTCGGTATGATTAGAACTCACGACCTTGAGATTGTGAGCCAAGCGCTTTGCCGAATGAGCTCTCCGGGTTCGGTATTCGAAACACGAAAAATGAAATATTGGCCATCGCGCGAAGGTGTGGTCGTGCGCATCGTGAGATTCCGTGTCATGCTGCGCCATCTCACGGTGTTTGTCAGGAATGGGAGCGAATCTTCGGTAAGCGGTGCCGTTCACGCGCCATTCTTTTCTTCCTTGGAAGGCCTATCCAACATTTTGTTCTTACCAGTGTTCGTCAGCATAACAAAGCTTGTCTCTTTATTTTTTCTTTTCAGTTGAAGGTGAGAGCAAATTAGGCATTGGGGACTTTGCAGTGCCTATAAGTTTATGGGCTTAACCAGTAACATAAACCCCAAAAGAATGTACGAGACGTAGCAGTTTGGAAGTTGCATTGTTAGTTTCCTGTAGTTCCTTAGATGTTGAAGTAACCCCGTAAATGGAAGGGGGTAGTAGTTTCACCCGCTCATTTGATTTGTTTCTCCGCAACGGGTTGTCACCGTCCAAAGGAAATAAGATCTTGTGTGTTCCGTCTAAATCTGACCATGACTGCCGATTTGAATAAAAGAGCTATGGTCAAGTGAGCACGCGGTATTGGACTCTCTACATGAGGTGTATGTCGATCGGTCTTGTGTGACCCGATTGTTCGGACCCTTCGGTGCACCATTTTGAAACAGCCGTTGCGGCCATTGCGAAATGCCAAAGATGTTGCAGAAAATAACAAAACAAAAAAACAAAAACAAAAAAAAACGTGGGCTCAAAACTCTTTGAGCGACTTGTCTTGGTATCTACATCCATTCTGCAATTTCATCCTGTCTAGTTTTTTTTTTTTGACCAATTTTTTATTTTTGTTTTGTGTATCTGCGTTTTGTTTCCCGAAGCTTTCAGGTTTGAGATGCGTTTTGTGCTTCGAAGGGCATTCGAATGTCATCGGAGAAAAGGAAAAGAAAAATGGCGTAGGTAGTTGCAATTTTTGTCATTCTCTGAATCCTGGGAGCGCTGCTACGTGGAGCGGGTGAAAAATAGGCGTCAGCTCTCTTCACAATAGAAAAGCTGATGGACACGTGCTTTCTTGAAAGGTGTCGTCATCTTCTCGTCTTGTGTCCCGGCTTTTCCCTCTGTAGTCTCGCTGTTGCGAACTCGCATTTTCACAATAGCACCTCGACCTCAGTTGGTAGATTTTCTGAGATGAGCTAACGTCGCAATCTTTCATCTCGGGCACTTGTTTTGTTATATTTTGAACGGTCACTTGATGCTGCAACCGGTGTTTGAAGAGGTGCAAAGGCCCTACTACTGTTTTTTTTTTTTCACCGGCTACAACTTTCTTATATAGTAAAGTGCATTTTCTTGGTGTAGGCGAATCTGGAGGGACGCCTACCGCTTAGGCCTGTCGCGTGTCATAAAGTAGGACGACTTCTTCAGCTTACCTTGGAGCTTAGTTACTTTGCTGGTAAAATTCAGCATTTGAATTGAGTTTAAACGCGAGCGCTGTTTATTGTTAGAGACACCTTAAGAACTGCAGGTCGGGACGAGTCCCAGGAATTGGATTAATGCTCCGCAGCCAATGGGATTGCGACATTGCCTCATAAGAATGCCGACGAACCATTCACGAAGCAAGACACCTGGACTCAGTAAGCAGTGCTACAGTAAGGTTAAGAACCATTAATAATAAAATGTGGTGAATATTATCAAGAGGTTCACTCAAGTGAGCGCTTGGTACAGAGTGATAGTTTCTTGACACTATTAATACTGAAACAAATAGAGAAAGAAGGAGAATGGTACAGCGAAGAACACCTCAACTTTCGTACGTCTTCCATTGATAAATAGATACTAGTTTTTAACCGCCATTAG